AAGGGTCCTGGCGGTTTCAATGGGTTAACTGTAGGGGCCGAGCCAACATCCTCCCCACTCCTGGGTCACAGTTGACACCGAGGCACATGGCCTCACACACACCTATCACCACAGGGGTGTGGCACCCCTGCTTCTTGGTGAAGGAAGTACGCTCCCGGGACACTGTCCTGCAACACCCTGCTCCCCAAGTTTGGATCCCGAACCCGGCCCGTGGCCCGCTGCCCACACAATCAGCGGTTTCCGGGTTTTGCCGTCAAAAGGGATTTATCGACAGGTGGTTCCAACTTTTGTAGAGTGGAGTTCCCACAGCAGGGTGCCTGGATGAGCAGTTTCAATTTTATTATTTTTCCGACTACTTTCCCAAAAGGCCGGGGCAATGCCTGTCTTGATGGGAAAGGGCCAGGGCCCCACCCCCACTTCCTCACGCCACTCCCAGTGGGATGGAGGAAAGAAAATGCGTCATCCTCGTGCTCTGAAAAAAATAACTGCCAATATGTTTATTCACACCTTTCATTTTTTCCTTCTGAAAATTCCTGTTCATATGCTTTGCCCATTTTTTCTGAATTAAAAAAATATCTTATTACTTTGTAGGGGTTCTTTTTCTGTGGTACGTGTGGTAAATAGTTTGTCTTTTGATTTTGAGTATGATTTTTTTTCCATTTAAAACTCTTAAATGTAGGTAGTCATCCAGGTGACCTATTTCCAGCCGTGTTTAAGGACATCTCCATGTTCTTGTATAACTTCAAGGTGGTAAAAAATCATCTCAACTTTTTTCCTAATATTTCTGTTATTTAATTTTTAAATATTTAGATGATTAATCCTTCTAAAACTTATTTTCTATATAATATGAACCAGGAATATAGCTCTGTTTTCCTCCAGGTGGACAGAAAAATTATATACAAATTATTTTACTAAGTAATGCATCATTTTCTTGTTGAATTGAAATACAACATTTATCACATTAAATGGCCATAAATGGTTGGCTTTCGTCCTGGATTGTATTCTATTCCACCTATCGGTTCGTTTATTTCTGCAAAAACCACACTGCTTTCCTCCACATGCAATATATTAGAAAAATCTAAAGAAAATTTATTTTTAATATTTTCAATTGATTTTTAGAGAGAGAGAAAGGGAGAGGGAGAGAAACGTCGATGTGAGGAGGGAACATTGATCAGCCACCTCCTGCACGCCCCCTCCAGGGAATTGAGCCCGCAACCCGGGCATGTGTCCTGACCGGGAATTGAACCGGCAACCAGGACGATGCCCGAACTACTGAGCTGCACTGGCCAGGGCAAGAAAATTTATTTTTCTAGTAAAACTTAGATAACCAAAATTGTCTCAAGAAGAGATGGAAAACCTGATTACACCAAGGACCATGGGAGAAACTGGACATACTGCTCAAGAGACACTGAAACAGGGACTTGGCCTGGATGGCTTTAGCGCTGAATTGGACCTAATCGTAAAAGAAATAGAAAATCCTGCCACCGAAACCCTTCCAGCCCGGAGGCGTGGGTGGAGAGCTCTGTGGTGCGCACCTATTAAGGTTAGGCTCCACTTCAAACTGGAAAAGGCACTAAAGGTACGGCCCCCAAAGAAAACCACAGAGCAATTTCACGTCTTATTAAAGAGGCAAAACTCTTAAATCACTCAGAAAAATTGGTAGCCAGTGGCATATTAAGTAATTACATATTATCAAGTGGCATCCGTCCCAGGGATTCGAGGAAACCTCTCGTAAGTCTTTCATTACATCAGTAGATTAATGGACAAGAGCCACGCTGAGCGCCGAGGAATGAAGAAGCCGAAGGGACCAGGGGCCTCTCTGGCTGCTCCGGGTCTGTTCAAACCCTGTGACGCTGAGCCTGCTTACAATACGTGGCAACACCCAGGAGAGAACTTAAGGAAGGCGCCACGGTGCCCGAGTGAGGGCGCAAGCTGCTGCTGAGGGACCCGTGAGAATGGAGAGACCTGCCAGAGTCCTGCGGGCAAACAGCTAATAGAATCAAGCGTCGATTAACTCTCAGATCCCCGTGTCTGCATATCACACCCGGCCAGGCTCAAAGTTGTGAGTATTAGCACCACTACGGGTCATCTGGTGACCCCAGGGGCATGACCCGGACTTGGCCAGCACTCAGGTGCACCCAGCACCAGCTGATCCATGGGGCTCAAGGCCTGGGACCCACTCTGAGCCTGGTCACTGGGAGGAAGGGGAGTCTACCCCTGGTGAACCAGGCGGGGGGAAGGGCAGAGCCTTCCGCAGCTCTTTACCTGTAAATAATACTGTTTACCAAGAAGGTGTTTCCGTCAAAGGAGTTGGCAACCACCAAGAAGTAATCTTCTCCCACTGAAAAGAACTCCCAGTCCAGAGCACTGTGGGAGCAAGGGGACAGACATTAGGGGGGCAATGTTAGGGGTCAGACATTAGGGGCCAACATTAGGGGGCAGACATTAGGACATGGAGCCCAAGGTACCACCAGAGCTCGGACACTGGTTTCCAGCCAGTTCTAATCCCAAACCCGCAGAGGAGGGGCCGGGCTGAGGGGTGTGATTTTCCCAGCCACACAGGGAGTTCAGTCATTTGCTTAAAACTTTTTAAAAAGTTTTTAATTGGGGTAAAATACATATAACATAAAATTTTAACAATTTTTTTTTAAATCTTCACCTAAGGACATGCTGAAAGAGAGGAAGGGAGAGAGAGAGAAACATCAATGTGAGAGAAACATGGATCGGTTGCCTTTCACACCCTCCCTGCCCAGGGATCAAACACACAACCGAGGTAGGTGGCCTGACTGAGAACTGAACCGGCAGCCTTTTGGTGCATGGGCGATGCTCAACCAACCGAGCCACTCCAGCTGGGCTCATTTAACCATTTTTAAGTGCACAGCTCAGTGGCATTAAGCCCATTCACACTCTTGTGCATCCATCACCAGTACCCATCTCTAGAACTTTCCACCTTCCCCAACTGAAACCCTGTCCCCATTAAATTCCAACCCCCTCCGTCTCCCCCAGCCCCCGGCACCCGCCATCTACTTTCTGCCTCTATGGATTTGACTCCTAAGTATTGGTCCTTTGGTGTCTGGCTTACTCCACTCGGCATCTTGTCCTCAGGTTTCCCCGTGTACCAGCCTGCGTCAGAATTCCACCCCTTTTCAAGGCTGAATACTATTCCACTGTGCCGATGGGCTACCGTTGCTGTTCCCTTCATCCGTCGATAGGCACTTGGGCCGCACGTGTGAATGGTGCTGCTGTGAAATGCATGCAAAGTCTTTCGCTTTGAAGAGGTTGAAATCATTGGAGAAGCGCCAAGCTCAGGGTCTTTCCCACGGGCTGGCAGCACCCTGGCAGGAAACTTGAGGACGCGGGCTGTGAGGTCACCCAGGTACCATCCCTCCCTTCCTGCTGCTTCCAGGAGCCCATGTGGAAATGGCTCCTACACCTGGAGACGGTGTTTCTTGCTGCAAACCCACACGCTGCTTTCCGCCTTAGACAAAAAGCTCCTGAATCACTAAGGGTGAGTCTGTACGCAGACTCGGTCCGTTCCGGGGGATCTGACAAGTAGCCTCCTGGAAGAACTCCCCAGCATCCCGTCCCTCGAGGAGGCCCCCCTGGGCCGTCAGCCCCGGACCCCACCATCACCTCTCTGATGACTGCAGGCCCTGTGCCCACTTTGCAGATGAGGAGACTGAGGCTGCAGCCACGCAGCCAGTCAGTTGGATTCCAAGGCCCGGCTGGTGAGTCTGTGTCCAATCGCCTTGGGCTGTGTCCTGCTTGGGCAACAGAGGGCCTTCTATCTGGGTGGAGACTCACCGCAGGTTCCCTTTCTGTGGAGACTGAGGTCACTGACATACAGCAGGGGGCCCAGGCACGTCCCCAGGAATGAGGGGGCCTAGGAGGTACCTGGGGACAGTCAGGGGAGGCTGAGGTCAGCAGGGACCCTGGGGTTCCTCACTCCTTCCTTCTTCTATTGGCTGGGATCACTTCTCGGCCACTGCCGGCCATGGCCGCTTGTGATTTGGCCCCAAAGTGGTGTCCCCAGCTCTGCTCACCGAGGAGTGGCTTGTGAGGTGCTCCCCTGGGAGGGGACAGTGGTGTCGTTCGCGTGTTGTTCCTCCAAACACAACTGGGTTCCGAAACCAGGACCCGTGGGGAAGGCGCAGGCGGCGAAGACTTCCGCGGCCCGCATCTTGCCGGGGACGCTGTGTGGCGCGGCGTCCTGCTCTCCTCTGAGGCAACGCGACGGCAGTTACCCGGCTGTCATTTAAAGGTTTTCTTTATGCTTTAGAACCACTGCACATGGTCAAAAGGTGGAAATAACCCACAGGTCCATCCGCGGACAATCGGGGGAGTGGACTGTGGTCTGTCCATACAGTGTGTGTCACTGGCTGACACGTGTTCCCCCATATGAGTGTCCACCACAGGGGATCCGCAGGGACAGGAAGCCGACTGTGGTGCCAGGGGCTGGGAGCCATGGGGAAGGGTGACAGTTAAAGGTAGGGGGGTTTCTTTCCCAGGCGATGAAATGTCCTAAAATTACCGGTGGTGATGGTTGCACATGTCTGTGAATTTAATAAAACCACTGAATTATAACAAACCAACCACGCCCTGTTTCAAAGGAATTAGAGCCAAGATTATAAACATGAGCCACAGAATCACTCGGCTGGTCCTGGAGAAGGGGTGCAGCCTGTAGGAGCGAGGCCACGTCACATCCTCGAGGGATGCAGCAGCCTTCCGTGTGGTAGCCACCGCGTGTGGCTCTGGGGACCGTGCCCGAGGCTTGAGCACGCTGCCTTCTCAGGGTGGGCTCCGTGGGGAGCAGGGGGGAAGATGGCAGTGAGCCGGCCGGACGCGGTGCCCAGCCCGCCTCGCTTACCCCTCCAGCCATTACCAGCTCAGCTTACCTGCAGGTGGGGATCTCCTGGAACTTGACGAATGTCTGCGCTGTGACATTCAGCTCGTAGATGACGGAGTTGATGACGTAGGAGTCGTTTTGCACTTGCATTTCCACATCGTAGCTGTGACTGTTGGCGACAGCGAGAAAGATCCTGTCTCCAATGTGGAAAACTTCCCAGTCCGCGGCGCCAAACGTCTGGGAGCGGGTGAGAAGAGGGCGGAACGCACCGGTGAACAGGGACGGCGGGAACAGCCACGCTATGCTGCGCATGTATGCTCACACACACTCACACTCACACACACACACTCAGCTCCGCAGGCCTGGCCAGGTCCCGCTCCCCGGCCTGGCTTTGCTCATTTCCCAGGCCCATCGACTGTCACTCCCTTTACGAACATGAGAGGCAGCTGTGCCTGTACCTGAACGGCGCCATCTGGGGTGGCCGCTTCTTAGCTATATGTGCTGCCCACTCCCCCAGTGCTGCCCTTCCTTCAAGGTCCAGCTGCTGTAACACCTCTTCCAGGGAGCCCTCCCTGCTTCCTCCTGTCTGGCCCTGAACTCTGAAGCAACCTCTGGGTACGTCTTGTGTTTCTTGCTATGAGCTGTTCCTGCCTGAAGTTCACCTTTGGTTCTACCTACAGCCCCATCTCTGGGTTCCTGTGCACGCTGTTGCTCCACAAATCACTTGTGACCCGTGAGGCTGAGGTGTGCAGGGTCAGGAGGGCTGGACGTTTGCATGAATGGCCAGCTGTGGAGCCTTTTCCCCAGACCTCGAGCCGCATGAGCTGATTTGCATGTGGGGCCCATGAGGAGGAAGCTTATGTGCAGTTCACGGCCAGCATCTCAGGTGTAATGGTGGTGCCAGTGCATGGGGAGCAAAGGACCAGAGAATCCAGATCCAGGCCCTGGCCTGAGCCCTGAAGAGAGGGCAGGGCAGAAACAGAAGGAGACATTTTCCTGGGAACAAGGGGCAGGCGCAGGGAGAGACCCAGTAGGCGACCGCACAGGATAACAGACCAGGGCGAGAGGGGGCAACCTTGGCAGTGCACTGTAGCAAGAGACAGTGTTTTTCCCCCATGCCCAGCAGAGGGCGACGTTGCCTGCCTTGGCCCAGCCTGCCTGGCTGCAAGCTGAGAACATTCCTGGGGTCCCCTAACCTGGGCTCAGAGCCAGGAGCTCTAGAAACAGGTCTGGATCCATCCTGAAGAGAGGAACAAAGTAAGGTTAAGCCAAAAGAATGACGCACTAGGACAAGGACAGGGGATCAGGACACTGGTGGCCACTGATCCCTTACAGGGGCCAGGAGCTTAGCTAAGGCCTTTCTGGATCAGCGTGTCTCACTTGGCTCCGTGAGGTGGCACCATTCTTTCCCTGGGGCACCCCATAACTCCTGAGCAGGCTTGGACACGGGGGCCTGCAGGGGCCTTCAGCATCATCGCCCTGAGGCTGCTTCAAAGAGGCAACTGTTAAAGACGCACATGGGGCAGAGAGTCACACACCTGCCAGCTGTGACTTCACAGAACCGAACAGGAGATGTCAGACTGTTAGGTCATATCTCCTCTGACCCGTACTGGGGAAACCATGTCAATGGGAAGCCACACATGTGTGCACACAGGTAAATGCACAGCCTGTGTGCACATACCCACATGTACATATGCGCACACATACCTGTGTACACACACTCCTGCACGCACACGCACCTGTGTACACACACTCCTGCATATGCACACACCTGTGTATACACATTCCTGCATGCACATATGCACACGGGCACTCCCACACAGCACAAGGGCCAGGAGCCGTATGATAAAGTCTCCCCCAGGTCGCCAGGGCCTCCTTGAACTCCGTGTCACTCAACTCAGACTGCTCACTTGTCCTGAGCCCCAGCATGAAGGGCATGCAGAAGTGGGGGCCTGGAGGGTACCGGGGCTTTGGCAACACAGGGAGAAGAGGCCCAAGGTGAGGAAGAAGGTATGGCTGGCAGAAGGGAAGCAGGGAGGAGTGTCCAGGTGAGCGTGGCTCAGGGGGGCTGTGGTCCTGCCTCTGCTCTATGCGCCCAGCCAGGTTTGAGCCAATACAGCAAATGTGAGGAGCTTCCTTCCATGTGAATTTCAGAGAAACAGCCATTTCTCGGTCTTTGTGTGTCCATGCAACACTCAGGACATGCTTTTACTAAAAAAGTAGTCATTGTTTCTCTGGAATTCAAGTTGGGTACTCTGGCTTGGCTGAGACCCACATGGGGCCTGGCTGGGTCACCATCACTGGCTGTCTGTGACCCCTCATCCCCACATTGTGGCTGCCAGAAACCCCCAGAGAGTGGGGGCAATACCTGCACCCTCAGCCAGAGAGGCTGGGCTCTCCCCACTGGCAAGTGAGTCTGTGACTGCCTGGGGCTGCGCTGTCCTCAGCTCGGGGTGGAGTGGCCAGGGGCCACTGTCAGGCCACTCCCGGGTTCTAAGCAAATTAGGACTCAAAGCAGAGAGAAGAAATCCCCACATCAAATGGAACCTGCCAAACCCTGCTTGGCACCGGAGCCCAGGCAGCCAGGCACCTGCTGGGCTGGGCAGGCCCTCCCCTCCTTCCAAACGGAATTCCCCTGGAGCCCTGCCCTGCCAGCCCTGGCGTGGTGCCCAGGGCTCCAGAGCACCTCTCAGGGATGAAGGTGCAGTCAGGAGTCCCTGGAGTCCCCGACAGCTTGCCTTGAGGGTGGGTGGGCTCCCGGGATCATCGGACCAGTGTGGGCAAGCAGGCCCTTGGGTTCCGGCTTTGATGGAGCAAAGAATCAAGGTCGGGGAGTGGCTGGGGAGAGGGCGGGGGAGGCGGGGGCACTACCAGGGGAACACAGGCGGCCCCCAGAGGGCCTGAGGCGAGGCTGCCATCCTCACTGCAGGCAGCGAACTGAGGTGGGCGAGGGTCTCATCCCAGGAGGCTGTGGAGAGCAGCACCCCCCCAGCCACCTTCTGGGTGCCCCTCCGAGCTCCTCCCCGAGCCCTGGCCCAGCGAGCCCTCCAAACCCTGCTGCTGGGCCCCTGAGGCTCCTGCTCCACGGAGCCAACGGAAGTCACAGGGCAAGCACCTCGCCTCATGACCACCCAGCTGGGTCATCGAGCCTGGCCCCTCCCAGGTCATTCTGGACAGTGTGACCACGAGAGGGGTGCTCTCGCACACCACCCTCCTTACGGAGGTGGATTTAAAAAATATATATGTTTTTATTGATTTCAGAGAGAGGAAGGGAGAGAGAAAGAGAAACATCAGTGATGAGAGTCACTGATCAGCCGCCTCCTGCATAGCCCCTGCTGGGGGTCGAACCCGCAGCCCGGCGTGTGCCCCGACCCAGGATCAAACCCCGACTTCCTGATTCACAGGTCGACAACCACTGAGCCACGCTGGCCAGGGCCAGAGGCGGATCTTACCCCAACATTCTCGCCTCTTTCTCTTCATTTGTTTCTGGACATTTAGGTCCCTGGTGGAGACTGTTTCCAACAAGCCCACAGCTTCCCTGCCGCCCGCACACCCGCAGGCCACTGCGTGCAGAGCCTCCATGCAGCCCACCCACCTGCCCCATTCCACGCTCCCTCCACCACTGACCCTCTCCTGGGCCCTGGCGCTCAGCCACCCTTCTGCCCGAAACCTACCCTGCTCTGGGTCCTCACGTCTGCCAGTGACATGTCCATCAGCCCCACCACCCAGGAGGGGAGCCCTGAACCCTGAACCCGGAACCTTGGTCAGCTGTGCCCCTCTCCCCTCCCTTACCTTTTCCCTCCTCACCCCACCCCCTCTACCTGGGTCTACATTTGATAATGTGGCCACAGCCCCACAGCCAGTCACTTTAGGGAGCAGACGCCCCAGCAGTGGAGGCTAGGTTTCCATGTTCGGAGCCCCTCCTGGACATGCCCCGCTTGGAAGGCCCTGGAATTCCTGGTGGGAAGGTGGGCAGCCTCCATTCACACCTGGGCCAAAAGCCCTGTGTGGCCCGGATTCCTCGGGAGCAGAGGTTCCACGCCACCCAGACCCACCCGGCACTCCTCCCGACGAGGTCAGTGTGCACAGCTTGGTAAACATCGCCACGTCCCACTCCCGCAAGCCCTCAGAAAGGGCCCCCACAGTGCCAGCGCCTCTCCCAGTGATGCCAGCACCTCTCCCCGCGCACACGCTCCCCGAGCACCCAGCCTCTCCTGCTTCAAAGCTCACGGTCGTGAAAGACATTGCAAAGCTCCAAACAAAACAGTAAACACATCGAGGCATCTCCAAGGCCCGAAAGGACCGGAACACAGTAGGGAAAATGCTGGCAGAGCATGAAAGTGGAATTCTGTGGGTTTTGAGGAATTGTCGAGGGAGGGACAGATGCACCTGTAGGAGAAGGTGGCCTTCAGGCGGGGCGCGAAGCAGCCACCTGCCCAGGGCTCCAGCGGATGCCTGCGGACCTTGGGCGACCGCAGTGCCCCACAGTCCTGGCCTCTGGGACAGTGCCGCCCTCGGGGCTGGAGACCTCTGTCACGGCCACTGTGGTCCTGTTCCCAGCCACCCTGCTCCTTGACGTTCCTCTCATGCCCCTTGGCCAGCTCTCCTTAGGGTCCCATCGCGGGAACGAGCCTTCACCTCCGTGCAGCTAGCCCATTTCTGCCCCTCTGCCCACAGCCTCCCTTCTGACGGTGCCCATGTCCAGGGCTGGGCACAGGCCGGAGCTGGCTCTCAGTCCAGGCACCGGGGCCTCCCAGGACGCCTCTGTGACAGAGGGACGGCACGCCCCTCCCCTTCACCTCATGTCAGGGCCCCCCGGGCTCTTTTGGGGGTAACAGAGGCTGCTGTGGGAAACATGACTCAGCCTGAGCCTTGCATGGGGGAGGCGCTTGGGCTGGAGGCTCGAGGGTGAAGGTCCCGACCCGGGCACTGGTCCTGGCTGGGGTCCCCGACCCCGCACGACCGGGCGCTGGAGCGGGCTCGGGGCAGTGCGGTGGGGCGCGGGGCGCGCCTCCTTACCAGGAAAGACTGGAAGAGCCGGAAGGAGCCGACCAGCCAGATGTACAGGTGGGAGTGCACCTTCGTGGACGTGCCGTTGAAGGCGTTGGCCACCGCCAGGAAGGAGTAGTGCCCCACGGTGAAGAACTCCCAGTCGTAGGCGCCCGAGGTGGCGATGGTCTGGTTGGCCTCGAACAGGCGCGTCCTCGGGTTCCACTTGTAGATGACGCTGTCGATGTTGTGGTTGTCTCCTGGAAGTCAAGCTGCTGTGTTGAGGGAGGGGAGGCGGACTTCCGTGGCCTCACGGCAGCCTTGGCAGAACCCCAGCCCGCCCTGGACCCTGTCCCGGGGCCCCCCCGGGCCTGTCCAGTCCGGCCAGGCCTGGGGCCAATCTGGACGTGGCCCTGCTCACCCCACACTCTCCTGCCCCCTCTCACTCTCCAGAGATGACGCCCTTCAGGTGACCACACCTCCTGCCGCCGCCCAGGTGAAAACCCTCAGTGGGCTCCCCCTTTGGATGGCCCTAAACCCTCACAGGGTCTTGGAGGGGGGACACTCCCCCCCCCGCCTCTCCCCAGCCTCAACTGCCACACGCAGAGTCCCCTTGGCTCCCACTCTCTCCCACAGGCTGGGCTCCCTGGAGCCCCTCAGGCCAGCCTCTCCTGGAACACTCACTTCCACGGAGGGCTCTGGTGAGCGGGCTCCTGGGTCACCCTGCCCATCAGCAGGTGCGGGGGGCTCCCCCACAGAGCTGCCTGGTGGGTCTTGGACTCAAGTAAACACGGAGCCGTGGAGCCCACTGAGGCCTGAGCTAGGGACACTCTGCAGGACCCGCTGCCACCTTGGACCTGTCCGGCCCTTGAGTCACAGGCCGGGGAAGTGCTCGCCAAGGTGGCCGGGGGCAGCCCCTCTCAGCCTGTCTCCCCACCATGCCCACGTGTCACAGGAGGACAACCTGTTCTCGGAAACGAGGCCCACATCCTTCCAGAGACTCCCCCAGCCTGTCCACACCAGCGTCCCGCTCCCTGACCCTGGGCTTGCTGGTCAGAGAGCTCAGCTTCCCACCTACGTCAGCCAGATCCTCCCACGGGAGGTGAGTTCTACTTAGTTACTTAATTAGTTAGTTAGCTCGTTAGTTAGCTTCAAATGAGGCTGCCTGTGCCTCCAGGTGGCCCCCGTTTCTGTGGCGACTCTCCTGGGAGCAGGTACAGACCTCCCCGCCTCCCCACCTGAACAGATGGGGAGGTGCTCGGGCGTGTCTCCCCTCGGAGGGGCTGGCTGATTTATTGTCATTCCTAATGAGATGAAGGGTCACCTTGTGAGCGAGTCCCGCCGGCCCAGGTTGAAGGTCACAGCCCTACCTTCCCTGTGGTTGGCCACGGCCAGGAAGTGCTCCCCGGCCACCTCGAAGGCCTCCCAGTCCCGGGCGCTGTGGGTGGCCACCCTCTGGTAGGGCCTGAACTGCAGCTTTCTCGGGCTCCATTTGTAAATGACGGAGAACTCCTGACCCTTTTCGTTGGGGTCAAAGTTGGCCACAGCCAAGAAGATCTGCAAGAGAGGAGCCAGACACTCGGTTCGCATGTGCGCGGCCTTTCTGGTGTGAAAGGTCGCTGAGTGTCGGCGTGTCTGTGAGAAAGGGGGGGACGGAGGCCGAGCCTCCCCCCGCCCCCAGTACTGATGGCTCAGCGGCCTGGGAGCCTGACAGCCTCCAGATTTGCTCATTGAGTTTAAAACAGCTAAGTGTGCCCTGGCCGGTGCTACTCAGTGGTTGGACTGTCAGCCCGAGCACCAAGGGGCCGCGGGTTCAATTCCTGGCCAAGGGCACACACCTGGGTTGCAGGTTCCATCCCCGGCCCTGGTCAGGGTGTGTGCAGGAGGGAACCAGTGTGTGTCTCTCTCCCCCTCTCTCCTTCCCTTCCACGCTCTCTAAAAAGCAATGGAAAAAAATATCCTTGGGTCAGGATTCACAACAACAAGAAAAAAACAAAACCCTAAACGTGTCCATGTTCATTTCCGCCATTTCTATCTCCCAAAGCCAACAAGAGCTTCATGCACAAAAATGGTCTTCGTGACCGGGTGAGCAGGAAAAGTCTTAATGCCCTACTCTCCCACAGCGAGTGGGTGTTTGTCACGCAGCTGAGTCCGACATGGAAGCCCCTACGTGGGACGTGACCCACGAGCATGACCGAGAGCGTCTGTGGCTATGACAGGGGCCCGAAGCTCGGCGGTCGGGCGTGCGCACCGGGGCTAGAGGCCAGAATGCCCAAGTGAAGCCCGCATCTGCTTAGGTGACCGGACAGACGTTCCCCTTGGTTTTGGGAATTTCCCGATTTTTCTTTGATGGAAAGTTATTATTATTTTTTTATAATGAAACATAAGCACCTTTAAAACATCATCAACCAAATAACCAGAGAATGAGCCATTCATTCACCACATTGGATCTGGCACAAGATCCGCAGCAGCTGCCAGTGACAGGAGGGCAGAGGGGTGTCTCTTTGCTCACAGTTCTACCCCTAATGGGTGGGCTGAGGTGGGGGCAGGGCTGTACCTGGCACAGGTGTGTAGGTGAGTGAACGATTTCAGGACAGGCATGGGAAAGTGTCCCCAAGACACTGCCGCTTTGAGGTGAGGGCATAGAAGGAGCTGGGGAGAACATTCATCTGGATGGGAGTGGGCCAGCCCCCTTAGACCCTCTCGGACCCTCTCAGACCCTCCAGGCACAGGCCGTCTGCTCAGCGCTGCCCTGAACGGAAAGAGGGGCTGCCCGCAGGGGGTCTCTGCCTCCTAGGCCTGTTTGTGGAGGAGGCAGGATCGGGCAGGGAGATCTGTCGCCATTCTGAAATGACTTCTGCCTTGTTGACGGGTCCAAGTCAAATGACCTCCACAAGGTTTTAAGTTAGTAAAGGTGGGTCTCCGCAGACCTGGGTGGCATCTTAGAGAAGAACTTTCCTCTCTTGTGTTGGAAGCCGAACAGACGTCCCCAACACCCGGGCCTGGATTTAGAGACGCAGCGAAGGGTCTGACCGTGACTGGCGCTTAGAGCCCCACCAAGGCTTTGGAGCCTCGAGAAACGCGCTTTCCTGGAGAAGCTACGTGGGGAGCCCAGCCTTCGGGCTCTGCAGCTGTTTCCAACTTAAAAGGACTGGGAACCCCATGCACGCAGACTTGCCTTCTTCCCGATGGTGAAGTGCCTCCAGGACTGTGCTTGGTGTGTGCGGATGTCCTGGTACGAGGCGAACGCCCCATCGGTCCACTTGTAGATGGCGGATGTGGCCTTGCGATTGGCGGTGGCTATGAAGAGCCCGGCCTCGGGGATGACAAAGACCTCGATGCCCAGCGTCTCCGAGTTCGTGAACAGGCGCTGGTGCTCCTCCACGTAGTCCAGCTTCTCCTTGGCTTGTGAGAGAGACGTTAAGACCCGGTCAACGCTTCCCAGAATGGAAACCAGGAGGGACAGTGTTGGGAGCACTGCCCCTCAGGCCCTGAGCTGTGACCCTGGAGCATTAGCATGGGCAAGGGCAATGTGCTCGGAGTGCCTGTTAACCCCAGAGGCCTGTCAAGAAGCCCACTGGGCCTGCATGGGTTTCAGGGACCACTGAGCCCCCAGTGGTGCTAACCCAGGGGAATCGATGTGTCGGGTCCTAATGAGACATTTCCCACACTCACTGCTGTTATAAAAGGCGGGGCCCTAATATGGACTAGAGGGGAGTCAGGAGCTCCCAGCAGCAGACACCCAGGGCTGCCTCACTCACCCTTCCCACAGTAGGATAGGAGCAAGGGCCAGCTGCAGCAAAAATGCCCCCAGGCCCTGGCATCGTCACAGGCTGTGAGGAGGGTGGGCAGCCCCCCCCTT